AGCATGTCCTCGGTCTTCCTTTCAATTCAATTCAAAAATACTTTATTAATCCCAGAGAGAAATTGATTGCTGTAGTAGCTCAGAATAATAATAATAATCAAGTCATCAAATAGTTATTGTATATTACAATAGCTGTTGCCATGAAGGATCTCCATTAGCAGTTAGTGTTGCAGCGAAACTGAACAAGCCTCTGACTGAAGACACTTTTCCGTTGTCGGACAGTCTTGTGAAGAGAATGCTCAGGGTTGTCCATAATTTTCTTGATTCTCTGGAGAATACTTCTTTGCATTATCTCCTCCAGTGGTTCCACAGTCGTCCCCAGAACAGAACCAGCCTTTTTTATTAGGCTGTTTAGCCTTTTCAGGTCCCTGCTTCTGATGCTGCTACCCCAACAGACGATGGCTGAAGAGATGACACTCTCAACAGACTTGTAGAAGATCTACTGCATCTTGCTACAGACATTGAAGGACCTAAGCGTCTTCAAGAAGTGCAGTCTGCTGTGTCCCTTCTTGTAAACGGCTTCGCTGTTCTTTCTCCAGTCCAGTCTGTTGTCCAGGTGAACTCCAAGGTATTTGACTCCAAGGTATTTGTACTCCTCAAGCACCTCCACTTCTTCTCCAATGATGGAAACAGTGTTTGACTCCACCGCGTTTCTTCTGAAGTCTAAAATCATCTCCTTTGTTTTGTTCATGTTCAAGGTCAGATGATTATTTCCACACCATGCCACAAAGCGCTCGACCAGCTCTCTGTACTCAGCTTCCTGTCCATCTCTGGATGCTGGGTTTGTTCCTGAACTGAACCCATTGAAGAACTTGTTCAGTTCATTGGCTGTGTCCAGGCTGCCATCTGTGCAATCCTTCCTCTGCTTGAAGCCTGTGATCTTCTTCATCCTTGACCAGACATCTCTGATATTGTTCCTCTGTAGTTTGTTCTCCAGCTTCTTCCTGTATGCCTCCTTGCTGTCTCTGATCTTGATCTTCAGTTGCTTCTGTATATTCCTCAATAATTCCCTGTCTCCCTCCTTGAAGGCTCTTTTTTCCCCCTCATTTAGCAGATTCTTCAGTTCACTGGTGATCCAGGGTTTGTTATTAGTGAAGCATCTCACTGTTCTGGTGGGTATGATGTTGTCCACACAGAAGTTTATATAGTCAGTGACACATCCAGTCATGGCATTGATGTCCTCTTCATATCCTTGGCAGAGAGTCATCCAATCTGTGGTCTCAAAACAACTCTGCAGGGCTTCTTCAGCGTCCTGTGACCATTTTCTCACAGTTCTTCTTGTCACACATTGCCTCTGAACAAGTGGTTTGTATTTTGAGCAAAGAAAAACAAGATTGTGATCTGATTGTCCCAGAGGAGGTTTTGTTTTGGACCTGTATGCATTCTTTACATTTGCATAACATAAATCCAATGTCTTGTTTTCTCTGGTGGAGCAGCTGACCAACTGTTGAAGTGTTGGAAGTGTAGCAGAGAGCGAGGCATGGTTAAAATTACCAGATATAGCCACAAATGCATCGGGGTGCTGGGTTTGTAGCTTATCGACAATGGAACTGATGGCATCACATGTATTTTCAGCAATGGCTGAAGGTGGAATATAAAAGGTTGTCAAGACAACACTGGTGAACTCTCTTGGCAAATAATATGGGTGACAACTAACTGCCAAGAGTTCAACATCTGGGCTGCAGAGGCGACACTTCACTGAAACATGACCTGGATAGCACCATCTGTTGTTGACAAGCACTGCCACTCCACCTTCTTTTCTTTTCCCGCTCCTCTTCAGATCTCTGTCTGCTCGTACAGTCAGGACTCATGGCAGAGAGACGCTGGAATCAGGGATATGGTCCTACAGCCACGTCACTCACTGAAACACATAACACTGCACTGCCGAAACTCTGGCTGAGTCCTTGAAAGGGTTTGGAGTTCCTCCATCTTGTTGGCCAGTGATCTCACATTGCCCATTATGATCGGTGGAAGAGATGGTTTGAATTTCCTCTTTCTCTGTCTCCGTTTTGCTCCCGCTCTGCACCCACACTTCTTGCGTTTTAGCTCATTTGGGATTTGTGGCTTCAGTTGAGGTATTATTTCAGCCTTTTCAATGTTAATCAGCTGCTCCCGATTGTAAACCAACTTGTTGCCATGGTTACGCATCATGACAAATGCTCAAAAAGTGAAAAAAGTTTAAAAAATAGCAGCAAAAATCCTCCAAGCTTCACAGCACCAGAAACAGAAAAGCAAAACATCCAAAAAAATAACACTGTTCCCCTTGAGAAACTAGAAGAAAAAATGTCCAAGAAAAGGCAAAACTTACATATAGTCAACAGAGCTACTCCAACGTGCAGCCACCCAGAGCAGCGCAGTTCCGGAATGGTCTCCTCCAGGTTGGACGTGCCCGGAAAACCTCACCAGGGAGGCCTCCAGGAGGCACCCTGACTAGATGCCCAAGCCACCTCAACTGGCTCCTCTCAATGTGAAGGAACAGCGGGTCTACACCGAGCTCCTCCCGGATGACTGAACTTCTCACCCTATCTTTAAGCGAGAGCCCAGCCACCCTGCAGAGAGAACTCATTTCAGCCGCTTGAATCCACAATTTCGTTCTTTCAGTAACTACCCAAAGCTTGTGACCATAGGTTAGGGTAGAAACGTAGATCGACCAGTAAATCGAGAGCTTTGCCTTCCAGCTCCAGCACACTCTTCACAACAACAGATCGGTAGAATGCCCACATCACTGCATCCAGCTGCGTATCGATCTTGTGCTCCATCTTTTCTTCACTCGTGAACAAGACCCCAAGATACTTAAACTCCTCCACTTGGGGCAGGACTTCATCCCATCCCTGACCTGGAGAAGGCATTCTACCCTTTTCTGACTCAAGACCCTTCTTCCAGCCTTTTCTTGGAGTGTCTTGTAAAAAATAGCCAAAAAAAGTCACCACCTGGATTTAACTAGGCAAATAGGTAGGAGCTATTTATCCTGTTGTTGTTTAACCCCAACTGGTGCAATGAGTTGCTTCTAATTTCTTAAACAAACACGTGGAAAGACAGTGAAAGAGTGGTTCAGCGAGCATGAGACATCATTTTCACACAGATTGGCCACCACAGAGAAGAAGAAGAAAATATCATTTCTATAGCGCCTCTCAAGATAAAAATCACGAGGCGCAGAGTCCAGACCTTAACCCCAATGAGAATCTTTGGGATGGGCTGGAGAAGGCTTTGTGCAGCGGTCAGACTACCATCATCAAGATCTTGGTGAAACATCAATGCAACACTGGAAGAAATTTGAAAATGGTCTAATTTTATTGTTTATGTAATATATGTATGTGTGTGTGTACTATGGGGGGTAGATGGCCTCAAATCAGTATCACTATAAACTGAGCAGCTCACCTCTATAACGATAAATAGACAATAATAACCTGTACAGCGGCTGTTAGGGGGAACAGCGGCTACTTTAGTGATAGTTCAACAACCATTTGGCAACATTTTGGATTTGGCTGCCATCACTGGCTCCTACTTGCTGTCCCAGCCCACTACAACATTTGAATCATCCTCCATTTTCTCACCGTCTTTCCCTTCTTGTTACAGACCGGAAGGGTTTGGGTCATGTGACTCCACCCTATCCAGCATCTTAAAGGATCATGATCATCAGGACGTTGGTGCTGTGTTGAAAAAACAACTCTGAACTGATTCTTTTACAAATTCCCAAAATCACATTGAATCAATGTGTGAGTTCAAAAATGGATTTAATCGTTTAACGCAGTTTGACTGTTTTACAGCTAAAATGGGAAGGACTAGTCCAGATGACCATTTTAAGGTTTAGGTCTGAAAGGGTTAACGCACTGTTTCCCCCGAAGCACCGTGACTCACCCAAAGCTGCATCATTGAATTACAGGCATATAATTAAGGTAACAGCTAAAGATGTTTTAATGACACTGACTCTTATGAATATCACATTAGAACAGATTGGATTGGATCACGACGGTCGATTCTAACTCGTGACAACTGGAATTGAATCTTGAAATTTGAATAGTTACCCAGCTTTAGACATACCTTACATTTCCAGTATATCGCCCACCTCTACCCTGAATTACTTTACTGTTAAATCAGGCTCTAGGATGACATTTTCTCTACTGTAGGGGGGAGGAGAGCTGACGTTTGTTGGATTAGTGGGTTGACAGGGTGTTCACTGTGATTACGTAATCTTACAGGAGCTGAGCAGGTGCTACATTAGGACAAGCAGAGTCATGTGGAAGCCTGAATGATCGCACACAGAGAGGAATGAGGAAAGATTAGAGAAGAGAAGAAGGGAACCGGTGATGCATAAAGATGAAGAGGCTCAGTGTTTGAAAACAGATCGGTTCCAGAATTTTAAAACTCTTCGCTTCATACAGTAAAAGCTCATATGAATAACAGATCTTCAAGCTCTTGAGCATTCTGTTAAATCAGGATCAAATCTGATTCACAATGAAACCCCTACCCACCCAGAACAGTACTTTAATATCTAATTACATTACTGTCACATGATATCTGATTTAGCTCCAGCACTCCCTGAGATTAGCCGCCCCGCCATGCAGGAACTTTGAGGGAGAAAACGAAGAGCCTCAGGCGTTAAACCTTGAGATTCCAAACTAAATGAACCTTCTGACCTCAGAGCTTCAAAGGTTCTTTGACAACATGTCCACGGGACGTCCCGAAGGCTCAAATGCTCAGGATTCAATGATGATTACTGATTTTACCAAAAGGCTGATTTTGACTTATTTTCTCAGCTCCTTCTTCGCTCTAGTTTTAAAACATTTTTCTGATCCTACCTTTGACAGCAGCCTCAGGTCTGCTAATCTAATGTTAACGGAAACCCCTTAAGCCAGCCAGTCAGCGACTGTAAATAAACTCATGACCTCTTGACTCGTTTCTTTAGGACTAGCTCTTCCTCCTCACTGTTCTGATTCTATTTTATATTATTAAAGCTTTACTTGCATTACAGCTGGTATAAAAAAGGTGCATATACTCACCCTCCCATCTTGTACGCCCCAACGCCTCCTTTCCAGGCCCGGACAAACGACGGGTCTGCCAGCAGGGAAACCGGGTTAAAAGACCCAGTGGCAAAGTAGGGTCCCACTGGGCCGACAATCACAAATATCATTGCTTTTCCAGGCCGAGCCACTCCAAGAGAAGGCTGGAGGAAGGGTGAGAGGACGTTACTGCAGCAGTTCAGGAGTATCCACCACATGAGCTTGTGGCTGAAGCTCACCTCAGTTCCTATGAAAGTGGGTCGAATGTAGAGGCTTGCAGTCTGGGAGTAAGGAACCCACTCCTGGTCCACCTCCACCAGCTTCTTGATGCACTCCAGCAGTTCATTCTTATCAAATAGCTGAAAGACATGTCAGGAAACGACAGTTTGTGAATAAAAACACTGAATAATTAAAAATGAACTGGAACATTTTTCCAAAATGAATAAAAAAATGATGGGATGTTGTTCTTAAAACAAAATCTCAGTCTGGTATTTTCCTTTTTTACTTTGAACACCATTACAGGGTATCTGCAGGTTAAAGGGAGCCAAATTTAAGACTTTTTAAGACCTTTTTTAAGGCCACTTTGACCAAATTTAAGCTATTTTTAAAATTAAATTTAAGCTATAATTTCCAGCTATTGCCTGGAACCGGTGCTAACCACGTCGCGAACGTGGGATTAGCCATCCAGTTACCATTAAACTTCCCCATGGTGCAAGCTCCCACTAGCTTAACCAGCTAATGCGCTCATCTAAAAATAGCCCCCTTTCACAACCAACTGAATATGTACGGTTCCGCTTACGCCAATATCACACAAAAAATCCTGAACGCTAACTAGAAATTCACGAAATTTCTATTGAAATAAAAGAATCTTGTTTAGTGGGCATTTGGTAATTTAAGACCCTTGGAAACTGTATTTAAGGATTATTTGTCATTTTTAAGGATTTTTAAGGCCTTAAATTTTGAAAAGCAAATTTAAGACTTTTTAAGGACCCGCAGATACCCTGCATCAAGCACAGATGGAGGATGAACATGTGAACACAACATCATAGGCTAACTTATGTATAAACAGTGATATTGTAGCTGTGTTGTTATTAATGTTATTGGTCCAGATCAGACATTGAATGCACTTTATAGCTACGCCACATTCATAGTGTTTTAGATCTAACAACGTTTTCTTTTCATGTACTTCAAGTTGTTTTGGTACCCATAAAATCTTTCTTAATGTACTTGGCTTTAACTTAAAAAAAAATCTAATTTAGCAGATCTGATCACAAAAATGTAAAATAGAGATTTTAGAATTATGGGTTTGAGCGTTTAATGAGGATTATGATAAACTGTAAAGAGCCAAGGTTTTAAAAAGAGGTGAAATGTGTGACAGCCTCTCACAGCTCCTTCCCAGATTATTACCATTGCTTCGCCAGATGACCCAACGTTTTTCTCTGCCTGCTTGGCAGCCTTTCTTCAGCCCCAGACTGACGAAGCAACATTTTGTTATGCAAAAGCTGCAGTCGGCCTGAACAAGGCTCCATGTGTCCTCTGGGTCTTTCAGGCTTGTTTTTGATCACATTCAGTGTGTTTTCATAAACACCTACTGTACATCAAGCTATGACAATAATCAGGCTTATATGTTAACCAGAGTGGAAGCCTTTTTCCTAGTTTACATATTTGTTAGAAATGTTTATTGAGTGAAGGGTGGTTAACTCCACAACCGCAGGTGGCAACGTGCGCCCGTTTGTGTCGGCATTCCTCCGGTTAACCGTATGGCCTAACACGGAGTAAGCAAATGCTGGCGAGAGTAAAGCAGACAGAGTGACAGCAGGATTTGCACACATATATTAAATGATTGAGAATATTTATTTGTGTTACTGATGGGTTTTTTTGTGATGAGTTGCCTTACATCTGGTTTGGCTGTAAGTGATCTCTGTGGTCCAGAAACTTCCAGAAAGGTTCCCAGGCTGGCCAGTTTGGCTAAGCTGGGATGTTGTGTACATGCAGAGAACTTTTGTTCTCTAACCGCATTATCAGGGTACTAGGGTTGTCACGGTAACCGGTGTAGCGGTAAACCCCGGTAAAAAAGTTGACAATAATAATAACAGTCTTGTTTTAAAAAAAAAACTATATTATCTCGGTGGATTACCGTGGCTGCGGTGTAGGCGCGGTGACCCTTACCAGCCACCGTATCATCTGCTGAAGTTGCCGGCGGCACATGCGCGCTTTGTTGTTTACAACCGAAACTTTCTTGAAGCTAAAGCTGAAATAATGGCCAAAGGAGGAGACGGCAGCACTCAGGAGGACATTTTTTATCCCTCAAAGAAGACAAAGTGGGAAGTACGGGCATCTTTTGGATATCTGAAGAATGCCGAGGGACAGTTGATAGAAGACGGCTATCCTGTTTGCAGCACGTGCAGAAAAAAGGGTCTGTGAAAGGCAGCAACGCTTCAAATCTCATGACACATCTGCGTGACCATCACCCACAACTCTACAGTCAACGCAAGGCAAGCTAACGTTAGCGCTTTAGCTAAAATGCGTGATCCGAGGATTTGGGTTGAGGGAGAAAGCAACGAGTCGCTATATAAAGCAGCCGCAGCGCCGCTACCTGCATATAAACCGTGTCGCGGACACCCCCATGTTGAAATGACGCTATGCATTACGGGGCTCCCAGGGACAGATAAGAGTTCGTCTCTCTCCGAGAATAATTATGAATTTAACAATGATTACTGCCTGATGACATTTTCCCACATCTGCAAAGCTCACTGGAACACAAACCGAGGACAATATTTTCCTGATATAGGGTTTATTACTCAAGTAAGGGTAAAAAAGTATCTGATTAGAAGGCTACTTGAGTACTGAGTATCATCTGATCTAATATTTTTTAAATGATGACATCAAACAGACATAAAATAAGAAGTTATGGGCAAATATTGTATTTTAAAGACTAAAGGGGAAATATGTAAACAAATAAACAACATAATTACAAAATAACACATTTTAGACTAAATTTAGACACAAACTGAGGACAATATTTCCTGACATACAGGGTTTAGTTGTCTGAAAATGTAACACGTTTAAAAAAATACCGCGATAATACCGAAAACCGTGGTAATTTTGGTCACAATAACCGTGAGGTTACATTTTCACACCGTGACAACCCTACAGGGTACCTTAGCTCGATATGGAGTAGGCCAGTTCGGTTGTACTTGAGCTGATACCCCAGTTTCCTCTTACCCACGGAGTTGAGCACTGTGAAGAAAACAACATGAACTCACGGGAAGGCAGCTCCTCTCTGCACTCCGGTGCATCCTCTCCATGTTCAGCATCGGTCTGAACAAACGAATATGGTTGTCAAATCCCCGGAACGCCTTCATGCCCTCAAACAGCTAAAGAGATGACAGAGACGTACAGAACCTCAACACCAGTTTGGTACGTGTTTATGACATTCTTTCGTACTTGATTAGAAGTAAATGTTGCATTGTTCATTCTTAGAGTACCAATCTTCAGGTGCTTTGTTGTGCTGTACCGTTTTTAGTTGAATTGGGTGAACAGTTTCTGCATCAGACGCCAGTAGACGTGATTTTTACCTCGATGGAGTAGTGCAGGGCTGAGGTTGCAGGATGCAGTGACAAGTTCTGAAAGGGTTTGATCTCCGGAGCCTCCCAGCCGCCCTTCTCCGACCAACTGATGGTCAGCATGTGGTCGGAGAACTGTTTGCCAAACAACAGCGTGGATGGGTCGGGCTTCGGCTTGCATGCTGGGTTGCGTTCTATGGTGAGATCTGCAGCCTGAGGTGAAGTCGGAGCAAAGGAAGAAGACGACAGAAACGCAGAGCAGGCGGCGAGTACAGTGATTGATCTCAAATCAGTTATTGACAGAGTTACACAAAGTCAGGGGAGATGCTGACTCTCCTGGCCAATTAATCAGGTTCAATTAAAGGTTCAATTAAACTGAATTAATTAATTACAACAAGAAGATAGTGACAAGACGACAGAGGAGGAAAGGCATTTCAAACATTCTTAGTAAAATTCTTTAAGTACAATAAAAAAAAAAAAGAGTCACATTAGAGAGTAAATCAGTAACGTTAACCCCGGTCTCACCTGCTGAGCAAATAACAAACATTTTCCTCTTTACCTTGAAGGAGCTGGCGAGTCGCAGTGAGCCAAAGGAAAAAGGGAGCGTCTGAACCAGTCGTGCATGGAGGGCCTGCAAATGGAACGTGATGAAATGAAACACCGTACCAGCTTACATAAAAGATGTAAAACTTTTAGCAGACACTTGAAAGGCTCTTTAACTTCAAGGTGATCATTTATCAAGCCCACATACAGATTGACGGTGGGAATGAGAATGTTTGGCTGAGAATCATTTGTTTCGTCTTAGTTTCACAGAACGTTTCCCTTGATAACCGCCTGTAGGACACAGCTGAGGGCGGTACTGTAAACACTTGGGGAATGAAAGTTTGGGAAACTGAATGGAAAAATGAATATAAGTTAAGTTTAGACATGTTTAAGACAAAACACATGACCATTTGTTCATGCCACTGACTTAAGGTAATAGACAAGTTTTCTTTGTTTATAGCATCAAAAATGGTGAGATTTTATGATTGTACTTGTAAATTATATTCCATTAGCATGTACCGTATTTTTCGGACTATAAGCCGCTACTTTTTCCCACGCTTTGAACCATGCGGCTTATAATGAGGTGCGGCTTTAGTCAACCAGAAAGGATGGATGCTGGAAAGTCTAATGAAGGAATGGTTAAAGGAGTGCTACGGAAAGCGCCCAGGAGGATTTTTTTTATCACAGTAAAACGGCGCTGCTTGTTTTCCCAGCTTCACCCCGGGATGATGGCAGCAACACGGAGAGCGACACCGACATCGCCACAGAAAAGGTATGTGACGAAGTTCTTCTGAGGCTGTTCAACTCCGACACTGACGAAGATGATGACTTCAGTGGTTTCAGTGCGCAGGAGGACGATGAATACACTAATCAATAACTTTTATGTTTTGTTTGATACTGATCAGTTCAGTTACGTTCAGTTAAACTACGTTTTCAGTTCAGTAGATATCTGCGGCTTTTAGCCCGGTGCGGCTTATACTGAGGTGCGCTCTATAGTCCGGAAATTACGGTATATTTATAATATATCACTGGACTCAGTTTGCGCTCTGCTGAGAAGGTGATTGGCTGCAGCCTTCCATCTCTCCAGGACCTGTACGTCTCCAGAACTCGGGGGCGTGCAGGTCGGATAGCAGCTGACCCTTCGCACCGGGGTCACAGACTTTTTGAGCCGCTCCCCTCAGGCAGGAGGTTACGGTCCATCCGGACCAGAACCTCCCGCCATAAGAACAGCTTCTTTCCATCTGCCGTTAGACTTGTGAATAGATTATAAACACACAACCATGCTGGTCTTCTGTACTCGACACAACGTCACGTTATCGGCCATGTTACCATTACCTGCCATTTTTTATAGCTGAAAGTTTTATTTTAGTTTTTTTTTATTATATTTTATTCTATTTTTAATCTTATTATTCATGTTATATGTAGCACATTAGTACCGAAGCAAGTTCCTAGTTTGTGAATTTTTTGTTCACTGACAATGGCAATAAACCTATTCTGATTCTGATTTAGTCATAACATTATGACCAAATGTGGAACATTACTTTGTCATTTGAGTTGAGATTTTGAAGAGAAGGAAATATAATTGACGGTGTGTGGATTTCAGACACGTTCATGACTGTGAGATATACAGCTAGGTTGCATCCTCTGCACAGCTGGAGCTCATTCCAGATGTTTTTAGTTGGCAGCTGCCTGGAGATCCCAAATCTAATCCATGAAAGAAAAAACAACTAAAGCAAAACCAGGTTTATAGATGGTAATGGTTTCTGTGAAAAGAGAAGGTTGTTCTGGTTTATAGGAGCTAACAAAAAGAGCTAAACTAAAAAAAAAAAAAAAAAAAAACAGTAACACAAGATCTGATAGAAATACAGCACAGCACATTTTAGGTGCTGTGTCCACTGCAATAAGAATCTTAACTACCATAACACGAAAGAATAGAGAGTGACCTGGTCTGAGAAAGGAATTTGAACACTCTGTGCATGTGCATCAGCTATGCTGAAAAGGGTTTCCAGGACAAAATCATGCTCTGACTGCTGATCTACTGAAAAACTTCTGTACTTTTGACCCTTAACTGAACAACTGTGGCTTTATTGAAATGGCATTAGTTGGTGACAGAAACTCTGGCATGCTGCAAACATGTTTTGTAATGGTCTGAAGACCCCAACAAATTCTCCTCCATTTCTCAATACCATAGAGCACATGGGCATGTCGGAGAAGCAGATCACTGGGTCCCAAACTTGTAACTGTTAGGAGTCGATTATGGTTAAATAATGCTGCAGATCTGTAGAGAAGTCCATGTCTGAACAAGGCATGGCTGTTCTGGAAGCAAAAGGGGGTCTACAACAGGTCATAATGTTTTGACTGACTGGGCTATAATAGCATGGCTGTCACATGTCGAACAAGATTACAAATCCATGTAAAATCTGCACACTGATCTCTGTGTGTTACATGGATGATGCAAGTCTTCAGTGCTGTTGCACATAATCCAACTGTGACAAAAACGTGTAGTTTTCGTGAATGACGTGTCACCTTCCAAAGGATCAACACACTGAGAAAACTGGACAACCCAAAGTCAGCGATGCATCGTGTCTGACGTCATTAATATAAACAAACGCGGAAATAAAAACTCATTTGGGGTTAACTGTAGCTAGGTGGGAGACTTGGATGACACATTTAGAACATTTTGTTCACGGCGTAACCACAAAACAACTCTTCAATTAAACATGCATCAAAACGACGTGTTTTATATTTAGACACGTTTACAAAAAAACTAAAAAAAACCACCATTAAACAGTTTAATCGTTAGATATGATGTTATAAAATAAATAAATATTCTACATTGCAGGCCAGCCGAATTTTACGCAAACATTTAAATAATGAAAATGTTCCTACAGCGGTCGCGAATGCCAGTTATTTTGACCCCGAACACTAAAATTAATATTTCCAACTCCAGGTTCGGTTCTCCTTTTTCCAGCGAGCGGGATAGACTGCAGGCGCGTAATGCCAGGTGATAAACAGGGAACGTTATCTTATATTGTGGTTGGATACACATTTATCGATGAATCAAATTAATCTTTAACCCAGGTTATCAGTCAAAACAGATAAACCCCAGACAGACATAAGTGAATGAACTCACGGTCCGGAGAGCAGCCATCTCTTCTACGTAGCGCTGATAAAAACGAGATTATCCGTTCGTGTGGAAACAAACAAACTAAACATTAGTTCCGCCCAGCTGCTGTGGTGCCAGAAAACAGCAAGGCACCTCACATAAATACTCATACCAGGTTTATAAACAATATGTTACTGGTACTTGTTTTTATTTTAACTATTTACACCATATGTATAAGAATGCCAGTGGGTAAAAAGGGGGACAAAGTTAATGAGACTGTCAATTTTTAAGGCTTTATTAATGTTGAATGGTCTTAGCTAGGAAGTTAACAGAGGCGTGCCAAATGCATGGCATCTGATTGGGCTAGAGGCAGAGAGGTTACTGTAGGTCAAATATATTTAATGCTGATTGGTCTAGCATTGGAGGGTGGTGCAGGTCTAGTTACAATTGGCCTGGATGCCAACATAACCCTAACCCATAAACTCAACCAGGCAGATAAAATAAAGGGACACTTAATTTCTTTGCATCACCAACCTCCCTGTTTTATGAGCCATTACTGTTGATTTTAGTATGTAAACAGGTGATTTTTCAGTTTGAAAATAATTTCCAGCTGCTCAAAAGCCACACGATGCTGTAGAGGTCAGAAAGATCAGGACAGGATCTGACTCTTAAAGCCGTAGTTGAGTTCTGCCCCTCCGCTGAGCAGCAGGTCGATCCCGGTGCAGAAAGTGGCATCTGCAGCCAGATACAAGGCAGCAAGTCCACACTCAGCCTCTGTTCCCATACGACCCATCAGCTGTTGGGAGGAGAAAGCACATGTGACTGGTTGTACCAGGCAGTTTCTTCTGCCATCAACAGCTGTTCACACAGCTACTGCTGTTAAACAAGGAAAATTGGTACAAATTTGATATCAAGAAACATTCTGTTCCTCTATTCTGTCTTGTACAGCTGTTTGTTACATTAACACAAGGCAACTTCTGCTGCATCAGCAAAAATCATCTGCTACATGCTCTTGACACAAAAACTGTACCTAATGAAAAGCTTTTGCTACTTTCCTGAGCTAACCTGAGCATTTTCTCCCACTCTGATGGCCTCTGCAGCATCTGGCGTCTGTGCTGCAAGTTCTTCCCAAAGCGGCGTCATCACGTTACCTGGAGAGATGCTGAAACAAATCAGCTGTAAGCCATAATCATCACAGTTATAACAACTAAAGGCTTGAAATGTCTGGCTTTGCATGCACTGAGTCTATATCTCATTTTAGTTTCACCTTTTAAGTTGAATTACTAGCAGAAAGGAATTTTGCACATTAACTTATTTTTTTCTAATTTCACATGTAGTTTGAGAATCACGATAACTGAAACCGTTGCTAATTATTCCTCAAGCAGCAAGGAAATCACAAAAAGCCATAAATCTAAAAAAAAAATGTAAAATTTCACTGTTTGGCTTCTTTAGCAAATAACATTATTACCCTATTGGATATTTAACTGGTGACATCAAAGAGAGGTTTGCCTCACCAGTTCACTCTCACGTTGCATCGACTCTCATCCACAGCCATGGCCTTGGTCATGGCGATGATCGCTCCCTTGTGGAGGAAACGTTACATTACAGAGCAGTTCTGCTGGTTTTTAAAATATTCTTATAGCATCTATTAACTCACTTTAGTGGCAACATAGGGTGCAGCATCTTTCTGACCAATTGTGCCCACAAGACTGGAAACATTAATAATGTTTCCCTGATGCTGGCGCAGGTACGGTAATGCAATCTGCAGAGAGAGCCAGAGCTTTCACAAACACACACACACACACACAAGCATGATGGGAAGGTCTTTGCAACAACGCAGGAGTATAAAAACTATATTATTACACAAATGTTACAAATCTAAGCTGTTATTGGGGGTAGGTTTTATTTATAAAATAAAAATGAGAAAAACGTAATTTCACATATGTGTCAAATTCTTTTTCTCATGATTTTTTGTAAGTTTGAGGTTTGAATAAACTTTATTAATAATTCAAGTTCTGGAGATGACACATTCCCTTTATCAAGTATTAGTTTTGTTATTTTTATGTAATTTTGTTTTCCCAAATTTCATAAATCAGATTTTAAACTCCAATATCATTTCAAGCCTTCTATTTAAAACAAACGTCTCCATTATCAGACAGTTTGACCTTAAATCGTACATTTTTTAAAATGAAATTCCCACAAAGTTTTAGGACGTGACCAAATAAACTATTCACTTGAGATGTTTTGTATTTTTTAACTTTTCCCCCTTTCTCTTGCTCTCAACTCTGATATATTATTTTCCTATTCATAGGTAAAAAAAATTCCTGCTAAATTATTTGTTGACGCACGTATAAAACTTTACTTTAGAAGCCAGGAAGTAACTGATGAGGTTGAGATTCAGCAGCTCTCTGAACTCCTCTGCTGTGGTTTCATCGGTGGCTTTGTGAGGAGGGTCTGAGGAGGAAGATGATCTGAAAATTAATCTGCAGCTTCATTCTCAAATACGTCTGCAAGAATCAAAAGAGGGCAACTCACGCCAGCCAGCGTTGTTGACCAGGCAATCAATGTGTCCATAAAGCTGCACAGTGACTGAGATCAACATCTGAAGAGACAAATAAGGACAAACTAATACAAATAACATCTAAAAGTTAACGTTAAACAATTTCCTGTTAAACCATGGGGTCCACTGTTGCTGCAGCTCTTATGATCGCATTAGAGACTTCATGCAGATGTGGACATGTTAACTTCATTAAAAAAACAAAGAGACACGCATAAAGCTGTAATTCAAGGTGATCTGTGAAACACAAAGTGAGGGTCTTAAGGAGATCGCTAGCCTAGTGAACTAGACCAAATGCGTGCTCTGCAAAGTTTGGTCTAGCAACGCTCCACTGGAACCTCTGCAGCCCCAACAGCATTCTGGCTGGCCAATCACAGCTCTCTAGAGGGGTTTCAAACACATAAAGAGCTGTGATTGGTCCATAATGGTGGGCCAATCATAGTGCTCTATCTGCTTAGTGAACAAATCACAGAGCTTTATCCGCTTTGTGGGCCAATCAGGACACTCTATATGCCTGGTGGGTGGGATGATGCAACAGAGTGAAACACGAGTATGTCACATTCATTGTCCAGTGGAATGCGGAGATCATTTGAAAGACAACGGTAGAACCCGCCCCACAACCGAGAGCCGTCAGTGGAGCATTGCCAGACTAAATAATACATTTATTTAGTCTGGCTTGCCAAGCGGAGATCGCTACATGTGAAGCTAAATTACAAAATTGCATGACTAGAATTTGTTATCACATTCATATATACAAAATAACATCTTCATTCATAACTTTTAACATTTCTAAATAGTTTTTTGAGTGTTAAGGCAGTTTTATGTTGTTTTGTTCTTATTGAACTGTATTTTTAGAGCTATTTAAAAACTCAAACCAGATACAGATGTTATTTTATGGGTCAGAAGCTCAAACATCTGGGATCTCCAACTTCAATCAATCAATCAATCAATCAATCAATCAATCAATCAATCAATCAACTTTTAATTATATAGCATCCTACAATACATGCAACTCAAAGTGCTTAACAAATTAAAAAGGCCTCGCTTACCCACATTCCCTCCCATCCCCAGAATTTTAAAAACAGTCTGACAATAAAAACCCCTTCACGACACTCATCCTCTGGCACACATACACGCCCCCTTCCCCATGGTAAAAAAAAATACGATTGACTGAGATCAGATGAGCCAGACCAGCTAAGACAAGGATAAGGAAACGCCATCAGGGGAGCCATCCGCCCCGGCAGCAGCAGCCGAGGCACCGACACAGGGCGCCCAGGGCAGGGAGGGCAGAGACCCCCACCTCCACCTAGGCACACCTGGAAAGCATCCAGGCCACCACAGCCGACCACCGCCGCCGGGGCAGAGGGCTCCCACAGAGGAAGCACTGGAAAAAGGTTAAATTAGGCTTAAAATATAAAATCAAAAGAGCTAAAATGAGAATTATAATATAAAAAGTTATATAGATATTAAAATAATGTTGATCATAAATCATGGTAAAAACTGTTTAAAAAGCACAAATAAAGAAAGAATACATTAAATAAATTAAAAAAATAAATAAATAACCTAAGTAATTAAATAGTTTCAAAAGTGATAGTATTCAGTTAAAAGCTAAGCTAAAAAGATGAGTCTTGAGCCTGTTTCTAAAAACATGAACGTTCCCAGCAGCTCTGAGGTCCCCTGCTTCACCCCAACTAGCTTCTCATAGATGCATAATTTCTGTCAGTTCACCCATATTAGATTTATTTTTACTTCTTGCATACATACATAATATGAACATCTTTATAATATATTGTGCCTGTTATTGAGAGTTTAGTAACCTAGCTGAATGTGGAGGATGAGGCATTTGGATTTTTCTAAAGCATTTTCCTTACCTTTCACAAAGGCTGTAGCAAAAATCTGGATTGGCCGCATGGTTACCTGTTTTTAGAACAGGATGCTTTGTTGCAAGATGTCTGCAGAGCTCTTGCTTCCCAATGATAACACATTTTACAAGGTGTGGTAAAATGTCCACAAATGTTATCTCGCCTCAAAATGTAATAATACAACCTCCATTTGGTCTGTTTTTATTGGTGGAAGCTGAGGGTCAGCATGCTTTATTAAAACTAAATTTACCTTAATCTCTTCTTCCTTGGACATGTCACATTTGATAAATTTGCATGAGCCCGGTCCTGCTGAGTTGAGTTCCTCTTCCAGAGCTTCACCTGCAGGACCTAAAACACATGCTTGACTTTCATTAAATACTCTGGATTTGCTTTTGCAGACAGAAAAGCAGTTAGTCACATTAAGGAAACTGACCTCCTCTCGCACAAAACACCACTTTGGCTCCATTTTCCACTGTAGAAAAACAAAAGCACATTAAAGCTGTTAACGCGCCCACTTACTGCTGAAATCACAACAAACGCACTGCGCAAACACGAGTGACTGGCATACCAAAGGCTCTGACGATCCCTCTGCCGATCCCTTTGGATCCTCCGGTGACAATAACAACTTTGTTGTGGTATCGGAGGGACATTTCTGCCAGCGGCTGAGCAGAAAGCCCGAAATGTTTCACTACTAAACACCAAAAAGGCTCCCACTTCCTACCGCAGGCCACTTCCACCCAGTCAGCTGACCGCCGAGTCACCGACTGTTTTGGTTTGTAAAGTGCAAAGTTCCGCAAAAAAAAGAGTTTTACTATGATGCGTCCAAGTGCTGACTCAACAATCGGAAATCTGAACATCAGCAACACAGAGATGAATACTGTTGTAAAAATGTTAATAAAATATAATTTAGTTGCATTATTTTGTGATTTTTTTCACTTTTACATTGGACATTTTCTGAGAAAGAAAAGTTTTTAAATATAAGGCACGAGATGTGGTGCAACAAAGCTGTACTATGAACACATAAAAGTCAAGGTTTTCAAGAGAGAAGAAGCACAAAGGTTATTTGACCTGTAGATGTTTAAAAAGAGGACTTGAGTTTATTAGGTAGAAAATGGGCAGCAGGATAAAGACTGCAGCAGGATCCTTGAGCTGTTTGGTTCTGATTTGAGCATCTCCATTAGTGCACAGCACCTTTCCACACATAGCATTTGTGAAACATTGTACATTTTTATGA